TCATTCCTATCGTATGCACTTTCATTCTACGGTATTCCTTGTCACCATCCGATTATATATTACTAGTACCCCGGAATACGTTCAGCTGTAGTGTCGTACCAACAATTCAGATGTAATACAATTCCCTTTTTAAGTACCTTGATGTGCATCCACCTCACTCGAGACTCTACCTCAACACATGAGTTGACAGGTGGCGTCTGTTATGTGGTTTTCAGCAAAATTTATGTGGCAGGAATGTGAACTCGGCGGGGATGTAATCCCAAGCATCGCCGTCGCCCAGCGATCGCAATGGTGCAGCTGTCACGAAAGAAGCGGCTAGAAACACCAGCTGAAGCTAACGCAAGTGCGTAAGTCTTTGGAGTAAAAAAATATGATGTGTGAACTCTTTTGTTAACGGTACGTCACAGTTGTTCCTAAACATAAAATTTGGATTCTTTTTCATCCTGCCATTTTGATTTGTTGTTGTTGTTGATAGTGCATTAGTAGTTTGTACAGACTAAACTAGCTTGGGCGGAGCCGTGGCCTTATCCCGGGTCAAGAGTGAGCCTCGTCGAGGGAGTCGTACAGTGAGGGGAGGATGTGTGAGGGCAACGGTAAGCCTGGGTGCCGGGATGCAAAATCCAAGAGATAATCAGGGGCCACTTTCGATAGTAAATCTGCGGCTTAGCTTCGTCCCGAGTGTGGTGCTTGTAGGTACAATGGACCTTGACCATAAGGGTACGGGCTATCATGCATGTAGACGGCGCGGAGGTCTGGATGGCGGACTCGGTTGAGGCCCCGAAATTGTGTAATGAGCAGCAGGTTGCTGTCCCCGCATACTTCCCGGTCCTGAAGACGTAGTGCCCCGAGAAGTCCATCATATTCCGTTTGATTGTTCGTGATGGGATCCGGGAGAAACCGAGCCAGGAATTCGCATACCAGAGGATCGCCATATGGCGAGCCTGAACCACCACACGCATCCTCTGTGCGTGCCGCTCCATCAAAGAGGATCAGCCCCGTCTGAACCGGAGAGGGGTCCGACGTGCCATTTTGATTTGTAATGCCATTCAATATTCGCCAAACGTGACAATCTTTTGCGCTTGAATTTTGATTGGGCAGTAAATATCGTGAGTTAGGCAAATTGATTTGAGCCGCCTCTTCTGCAAGATAATTCCCCGAGAGCAACAGTTCCACTGTCGCTTACGCAGTCCTTTCATAGGAACCAGTAGCCGCCCTGTAACCTCGGAACCCCCGGGACCCTTGTGTTGATATTCCTGTGGTTAAGTTGCATCGCTAGAGGTCGGCTATCGCTAACCTCTGAAATACACTTAACCCCTAGCTGGATGAATTGTGCTGTTTTGGTTTACGCAATACTATATGACTATGACATACCCTACCACAGTAATACAATCAGTGGAAGTGTTCTCTGAAGGAATTACTGTGTTCTGCATGATGGTTGGTTGATCACCGCAACCTTATTGGTTATCTCGACGGTTCTATTAATAATAACATGTACAGTAGTCCTCTAGTACTACTATTAGTAGTAACGTAAAAGTCCAATTTACAGTTAAGAACACTTTTTCTGAGACGCTGCCGTGGAGGAATGTAACTCGACTCGTAGGTATCGGATTATAATTCTAGAATATGTACATAAAGCCAAAATCCAGGCCTATTCGGGAGTTATGAATGCGATATGGTTCCTGTTATAATTCATTATCATTCACTCCACTTTGTCCACAAACAGCTTAAAACAAGCGGTCCAATTTAAGGTGCACCATTCGAGCTTAGTCTTTGTATATCCATTTGCATATTTTTTGGGCGGTTAGGTTAAAAACTTTCTTTGTAGGAATTGATTGGCTAATTCGAGTGCACCTTAAATGGATCGAGCACCTTAAATTGGCTTTTTACGTTACACACCGATTCATTGGCCAAAAAAATAATAGTAGTACAGTACCAACCGTCCGCCAATCCAACGGCGCGACGGTTCCCCGATAAGATCTTCTCCACAATGGCGACGGCGGTGGAACAAGCGCGGGCGATATTTGACTGTGTGGACACGTCCAAGGATGGCGTGATCGACCAGAGCGAACTGGGCAAGTTGCTGGAAGCCCTTGGTGAAGATCCGACGCCCCAAAACATTGTGAGTGCGCTGTTTCAACTGGACACGGGCGGCGACGGCACCATCTCGTTTGACGAGTTTGTGTCGTTTTATAAGCTCAACTACCTTCCACGGCACCCGACCAAACTGCTCAGTTCTCGATATGGTCCGGCTGGCATTGGACACGCGAAAAGCGCAACGTATACGTTGCCACCCCCCACGTTTTGCTTTGGAAAGGCTCTGCAACGCGACAAGGAGAACGCTGGCCAAGGTAACAACACGAACCACTGGTTGGCTTTTGTTGTCAATATATATGAGTGGATTGGGCAGTTGTTGGTTTTGACATGTATATTTGACAGTGTTGAGGCAATTGGGCGATGCAAGCGATGACGTTTTATCTCGAAAGCGAGTGGGGTATAAACCATCTCAATCCAAGCAACAACCAACTGCATTGTCGAATAATACTCCGTCCAGACCGTCCACTGGTGTGAATCGCCAGGACAAAGTTAGTGAAACGTTGGCAGGCTCGACTACTCATACCAACAACGAAGCCGGTATGAATTCATGCCCTGTGCGATTGGTTGGTCTCATGTTCGTCTAGCTAACCCTAACCTTTTCCGTACCACTTAGGCGTGGCGTTTGTATTGCAGCAACTCAAAACCCAATTGCAAACACGGGGATTACAAGCGTTTCAGGCGTTGAGTCAGCACCTCCACGGGGGGGGCGTTGCCACGTCGTGGACGTTTCCTGCGTTTAAATCGCTAGCGTTAGACACTTTGCACTTGTCTGCCACGGAAAAGGACCTTCGCGCCGTGTTTGCAGTGTTTGACACTAACGGCGACGGCACGATCCAAGCAGCGGAGTGGGCCCGTGCACTGGAAACCCCCCTGAGTGGCAGCCGCTTGGAGCTAGTCACCCGAGCCTTTGAATCCGTCGATGTCCACCACACTGGCGCGGTCAGCTTGAGCACCCTTCGACGGCAGTTTGACGGATCGGCGCTCCCCGAGGTCGAGTCTGGCGTGCTCACCATCGACGAAGTGCGCAGCGAGCTCTTGGCAGCCATGACCAACCTTCTCACTCGAGACGCAGCGATAACCTGGCCTGAATTCGCCAAGCATTACACCCACGTGAGCTCGGCCACGTCGGACGACGCTGCGTTTACTCGAGTGGTGTGTGCCACTTGGAATATCATGCCCCCAGGGTCACCACGCCCCAGGACCGCCTATACCGGCCAGCGACCGCCACAAGCGTCCACCACAAGTTCTACAGCAAAGACGAAAGAAAAACGAACCAACTTTTCACGCATTCAAGCCCCATGGTTGACCCACGATTCGGCCAGCTCGTTGCTGTATGAAGGCAGTAAAAATAACGATCTCGGGACTGCAACCAACGACAATGAACAAGGAAAAACATTGTCGCCTCCAGCAAGAGAACTCGATGCTGGCCTCCGTGGAATTTTCACACGAATTCGCACTCAACTCAATGCAGTACGTACGTGGCTACCTATCCTTGTTTTCATTTCTTTCAACTTGACAGTCCTTATCCGAACGGGTTATACATTTATAGCCCAGTGTAATAAAGTATTCTTAGCCACAATATTGATGGATCATTGCACGACTTTTGCTTCTTGCTCAATGCAATTGTCTGTGTAGATAGGAGTCGGGGGGTGGATGGCTCTATGCGGGGAATCGACGGCGATTTCTCTTGCACAAGACCCTTCACCAACCAAGAGCGCCCCTCCGCCAGTCAAGAAACTATCCCTTCAAGCCTTTAAGGACACGATGAAGAATGCGGCGGGGGTCGTGCTGTCCGACAAGGACTGGCGGGTCATCTTTGAGTGGTTCGCAGTGAATCACACGTTGGACATGCGCCACGTTGCTCAGCAACTGCACACGCCACTGTCGTCCACCCGCCTGGGGCTCGTACGTCGAGCCTTCCGGAGCATCGACGTGGACAAATTGGGGCGGGTGTCGCTGGTCGAACTCGTTGACCGCTTCGACCCGACGCAGCACCCTTCCGTGTTGAGCGGGAAGGCCACAGTCGAGGAAGTTTGCGACGTGTTGAAGATGGTATTTCCGGGCCCAATGGTGACCGCCCACGAGTTTGAAGTCTACTATGGATGTGTGAGCCAGGCCATTTTGGAGGATGCCGAGTTCGAGCTGCATGTGACGTCCGTATGGGCGAGCCGGTTTGACGACGTGCGCAGCGAGAGCGGTCGGTCTACTTCCGTGTCGAGTTCGACGCGTGGAACCGACGAGCCTACCAAGAAGTCGCCGTTGACCCTTTACCACGAAAGCCAAAACAGGCTGGCGGCGGCCCTTACCAGCAAACCTAAAAATACCACGGACAAGCCCAAAGCAACTGGCAGAACGATACAGGAGTCGCCCATAACGTTAGTGTCCAAGGCATCATCGAAAGCGGCCACGCGTGGAAACACAAGTCGATTGAAAAATGCAGGTGGTATCAACCATTGGAATAACTCGAGCCGATGCGCGACTAGTCCCATGTCTACGACGATCAAGAAAGCCAAGAGCTCCAAGAGTAGTAGTATGGGGAAACCAATGAGCACGACAGCATCCAAGTACTAGAAGTACTAACTTAGCGCCGAGAACTACTGTGACGTTATTAATAGTATGGTGCAAGTCATCTATTAATAAAGACTAAAGATTGGCCATGCTCAGGAGGAGACGTTTTACTATTAAACTCCTCGGTTCTTTCAGTTAAACCCACGAAATGTTGACGTTAAATCATTATTAGTTACGTTTTTTACCTGGTAATTAGGTTAAACATTGTGAATAATCCGGATACAATGAAAACATTTGTACGGATAAGTGCTGTATACAAAGACCAAGATATACTTGATACTCCTATTCGGCCAAAATGTACCTGGTTCCATATATCTCCGTACAAAAAGGCCGGTTGGTTTAAATTCTATTACTCGATCAATTTTTCACCAATCGAAAATCTGAACCGTAACTTCTGTTGGGCTTGTCCAGTTCTATCATTATTATGGTATATTTTTTGTAGTCCTTAGATGACTTGCACCATACTACTACTGTAGTAAACTAAATTACCAACATTCGCGTTGTAACTTCTGATTGGCTGAATATACTTGTATTTTATGAAGAGCAATGCGATTGACTCAAAATTGGATTAGCCAATAGCGTCGATTCGTGATTCGATTTCAGCGCGAGACGTGGTCTAGAAATTACACACAGTAGAATCCACAATACATTTGCAGCTATTGCTTTACAGTTAACGTAGATGGCCAATTTAAGGTGCACTGGAAAGAGACCTCGTCGCAGAATGCAGCTTACTCGTCTCTCAGGACCAGGATTTAAATTTGAAAAAGTGCTCAAATGAAAGGTTGGGCATTCTTCTTTACTATTTAATCGGCCTGAACAGAGTTCATTTTGGGATTTATTTACTCTGATTTTCACTCAAATCAAGGCAGAATAGGAGAGACGCTTTATGGTGCATGGTTTACTGTTAACAATAGGGAGATTTCGGAATTCAATCCGTGTTCGTGTCCGTGAGAATAATTACACGGACAAAGATTAAATTTAGACGATTTCGCTGTATAAATAGAATTCCGCGTCCGGAATAAACATAAGGAATCAGCTAACGTTACTTTGTAATAATGCTGTCTGTGGAAGAACTTGTCATGGCTTACAAGCGTTCTCGCTTCGCGAAGCCTGCCCGTCGTCGCAGACTTCTGCTCGCACTCATACGGTCGATCGACACCATACAAATACACAGAATCCTTCTGGAACTTTTCATGGTTGTCGAGTATCAGGTGGAACCTGTACGATGTTTTCTTGCCGTCAACTTCGAGTACCTGGCAGAGAAGCCAGGAACTTTAACTCCCCTAGGACCAAAAGCAAGTTATACGCGAGCACCTCCCCCAAGACTTCATGACTGGTAGATGTTGGAGGAATGTTCGCCAGCGCCAAGTCATCCTCGCTTGTCCACCGAATGGAGCCCTTCCTGTTCGGACAACCACTACTTTGAGTAGGTGCTATGGTGCACGGGACAGTTTAAGGTGCACTCAAATTGGCCAATGGAGTTGTATGATTTTTGGAATAGCCAATCGAATCACTAGAAAAATGAAATCACCAAAAAATAAGCAAAAACAGAATACTTCGAAGTCGCTTAACGTACTATAGTAGATGGCCAGTATAGTCGATACCATAGTTATATCACTGTCAATCCATGTCGAAATTCCATTTGTGAATGATTATGACAATATTCAAGTTTCAAACTCACTTTAATAATACATACAATTGTTGATTATCTACAATAATACCGGTACTGAAAACTCAGAATGCTCTGGCCAATCAACGGGATTTACGAGCGATTTCAACTAATCATTGATCAGGTCAATTTACAGTATCTTGGCTGGGCCAAAATGCTGTTAGTCCAGCATTTTGGCCCAGCCAAGAAACGTGAATTCACGTGAATTGGTGTCATAAATAAAAAGTAGTAAGCTAAAATCTGACTGACACGCCGAAATGAACTGTAAGCGAAGCGCCACAACACCCTAACATAAGCTTACTAAAGCAACGCGCTTGGAGTGAAGTTCCACTAGTTATAGATATTGTGCTTTCGAGTGAAATTTCGTGTTGTGGCGTGGTTTCTCGTTGGAATTTAAATCGATTTGATTGGCTACTTCAGATGAGCTCAACATTATTAACCAATCAAAACCTTCTAAATGAAATTCAACCAATCAGATCGATTGTGGATCGGTTTGGCCGGCGCGATTCGTATTGCACCCTCCCCAATTTTGTATCAAATCGACAATACTGTCCTCCTTACCGATACGATAGTGTACTTTTACCCTTAATCTACTAACAACCAACCGTAGCCTCCCATTCTTCAATGACTACGTGTTGGACCCTACTACCTTTCGGTTTTAAATCGCTTCGACGGCGGCAGGTCACTATTTCCGGTGCTGCTACTACTGTCGTGCCGTCGCCCTGATTTGGATTGGAGTAATGTCGTAACAACGTCTGTGAGACTGGTGATTTGCGCGGTGACCTGCTCGAGCTGGGACTGGAGCGTCGTGACTTGGGCCTTGAGCACTTCGACTTCTTCCTTTTCGTGGCTGCCGTGGGCGTTGCCGCCTTGGCCGTCCGGCCCTTCCGAGTACGTTTTGCGGCGGATGTGGGTCATGAGTTCTGGCGCGTGGCGAAGAAACTTGTCGTGGTAAAACTCCCACCAGTTCTTGGTCGCTTCGTCCTCAGTGATCAAGATGTCGTCCTTCTTGTACTTGCGGAACCCGTAGAAGTTGAGCTGCCGCACGAACGACGCAAAGTTGCTGTGCTTGAAGTACTTGGGCAGCATCGCCTTGGCAAACTCGTCAGGGTCTTTGATCACGACCGTGGTACCGTTGTTGGCCCAGGCTGCAATCTCCACCGGAGCATTCTCGAACATCGTGTACGTCTTCTGAAGAAAGATGGGCGCACCTTCCGCCTTGCCCTTCCCGGCGCCGCCGCCCGGACCTTGCTTCATGTGACTTCTTCGATGGATAATTCACGCCAATCCAACTGCCAGTTATCACAGAGGATTTACAATCACTCTTCGACCACACCTCTATAAATTAATACCCGAACTTTCAACAGAATTCCAGACAACCAGGTTCATTGTGTAAACCTGTGTTGCCTTTACAGGATCGTAATTCACAGTGGCTAGTTTAGCGGTGGCTACAAAGTTCGTGGTGGCACCGCCAGATCGCTGTATAAAGAAAGCTTGAAATACATTGTCCTTGTACTGGACTTGTATGCTGATTCGCCAAATCTGTCGATCGATTCTCTGTAACGTTAATGCTACCGTACCTTTCGATTCAATGTTGGAGTGGTACTCGCCTGTGTCCACTCTGTTTCTAGTCTATTCAAAATTAATAATTCTATGTGATGTTGGAGGAATATAATTTTATGGGAGTTCTTCGTGGCAATCAAACTCAAATTGAAATCATACAAGTACATTTCTAGGGCTTGCGATGGGACGGTCACAGCATAATGGAAAGTGAATGGAGGTGTCAATGTCAGTTTACAAGCTCAAGTTTGCATGCTGAAATCTGCAGGAAGTCGCTTCAAGTTTGCTCGTCAGTTATCGCGTCGTAGAGAGGCATTACTTCTGAAAGGATATTTATGTCTAGAGGCAATGAATATCAAATTTTCCAGTGGTACTCCTGGCTGTACCACTCCAACATTGAATCGAAAGGTACGGTACTGACATGTGAATTTTACGCCCTGTGTGGGCAAAATCGTAAAAGTGGGATTTTATCACACTATTTTTAGTCCCACACTATTTAGATGTTAATGGTGGATTGGTTGGCCAAATACAGTACTTCTGCCGATTCTTCTTACTTGGATGTTTCGATTCATACTCGATGTCGCTCCAAGGTACTGTTACAATGAGCACAACAATATACTAGTATATCAGATAGAACATGCTACTACATGTATGGGCATGGTTCCGTGAAACTTTTTGCGACCCTTCGATCGAGTGGTTCCTTTACTCATTTTGCTATTGTGGATTCGGTACGAATTTCCACACCACGTCGAATCGAATCACGAATCGATGCTATTGGCTAATCCATTTTTGAGTGGATTTGATTGGCTCTTGCAGAAAGGACAACTATATTCAACCATTTAGAACTCCTGCGTGATTCAATATTGATTAGACAAACCAGGCGAATTTTGCAAGTTTATAGCGACTTCACAATACTTTTAATAGTATTATAACAGGGTTTCTTAAAGAGGAGAATTATTGTGGATTCGGTACAAGTTTCCAGACCCTGCCAAATCGAATCCCGCCGCCGAATCGAATCACGAATCGACGCTAATTAATGGCTAATCCATTTTTGACTGGATGTGATTGGCTCTAACAGAAAGGACAAGTATTTTCAACCAATCAGAACTCAAGCGCGATTCAATATTGATATTTTGGAAATATATAGCGAATTCACAATAATGCAGTTCGTAGAAATTAAAATTATGTCGAAATTCGAGAGTTGATGGGAAATGAACTAAAAGAGTGAAAATAGCTGAAAACAGTTCCGAGCCACCTGATTTTATCCAGTTTTCTCTAAAATTCAAGTAAAGGTGCAGGTGATTGGTTGAAAATTTCAGAGTGATTGCTTTCTACCAATCATGTATCGTGGTACAGAACCCAGTTGCCATGGAACGTACAGTACGTCTAGTAGTACTATTAATAGTTACTAATAGTACTATTTTCTTAACGTGATAACACAAGTCGGTTAGCGGGGTTCAGTCCTTTTACCCAAAATTTGGACTTTTGTCCTGATTCGCCAAATCTATCCATCGATTCTTTGTACTGACTTTTGTATGTAAAGGTCGTCCAGTTTCACACTACAGTAATATAATTCACACACTAATTCGATGTTGAATTGGTCGAAGAGTGGATTTGATTGGCTACTTGTTTGGATTTTGATTGGTCGATCGATTTCGTGCTGCTCATTCCATTGAGCACCCCACTGTAATTTCGAATTGACTTGATAATAATGTACTACCCGCCCATTCCTCGCTCGTCGCCGTCACTGTCGTTGTGGCACTCTTCTTCCTCGTCTTCTTGATCGTGTTCTTTCTGAATGGACGGCTTGGTCAAGCTCGGAAACACCAGCAGGCGCTGGCGCCAGCAATCCGCCAACTGGTCCTTGGCCGAAGGCAGCATAGCATCGTTATCCTGCATCATGGCTTCTACGTACGCCGCCGACGATCGTCTACTTTACACATCAGTCACAATTCCGGTACTCACAGTCAAGCACTCTTTCTCGATTGTACTAATTAGTACCACATCGTCACAATTCCGGTACTCAAGCACTCTTTCACGATTGTACTAATTAGTACCAAGTACCAGAGTACCTAGTACCTAATCTTTCCTCGAGTACCTAGTACTAGTACCTATTCCTACCACATTCTCCTCACAGCATCACAGTTGTAGTACCGAGTACCTAATTCTACCACAGACGACTACAAATCTCACACCAGTCAACCATCATTCAACCCCTGTGCCCTCCAGATTACGTACATCTCAATCAGCCACAATTCACACAAATCCATGCCTCGAGTACCTTATACCACATAGTACCTAGTACCGACTTCCAACCACCACAGTATGTACGTACTTTGCGATCGGGGGCGACAGCTGCGTCACCACTGTACTCGTGGCCCGTGTCATCTGTTGCAGCACCGCATGCGTTTGTCCGAGCTGCTTTTCGATGCGCAGCTGCAGCGGCGCCCAGTCGTCCTTGCGCTCGTGGTGGCATCGCGCGAGTTCATTGGCGAGGTGGCCACGGCGACCGCATCGCGCACACCTCAAATTCCCCATGCGCATCAGCTGCCACGTCCTACAATAGAGTGTCATGACTTATTACAGTGAATACAACTACAGTACTTCCACTTGAGCATGCCAAATCTATATGGTAGAACTGGAACGTTACTTTACTACTGCTGTAGTTATGCAAAAAATAGGCACCACAAGTAAAAAAAGTACCCTACCCAAGCAAACAAACTGGACAAGGACAGTTGTGCACTTTAAGGCAGGTGCAGTATGTCGCGAAATGACTCAAAACAACTCGCAAACGACAAATTGTAGCGATTGATTTATCCACTAGTAAAAGGCTCCATCCATAGAAACATACACTACTACACAACGCGAGCACTATATATATATACTACTGTACATACACAACCAAATTAATTGATATGGAAGCAAACATACATGGCAACATGGGCGTCGGGGTATCGAGACCCAAACTCGAGGCGTTCGCGGCGGTAGTCGTCCCTGTCAGTGGCCAAAAACTGGAGTTTCACCAGCATGTCTTTGATAAAGTCTTTTTCAGACACGGCCAAGAGGTCGTACAGGTGCCTCTAGCAAGTCAGTTGGAAAACCACTATTTGTATCATCATATAAACAAGCATTCCATGTGATGACCAATGGGGTATATATATATATAAAATACTAGTATAAGTGCTATCAACAACCATATGAATAACGAGAAACCTAGCTACCAGTAATGGGACAATACTGCGGTATAACTGAGTGATGATACTAGCAAGAACTTTAACGTAAATCTACATAGTTTGTTCTCGAAAGTTTAATGCATAAAATATATTATGAAAAATGAGCACAAACGTTTTCAATATAAAAAAGTAAATAACCATGAACAGATATATAATAAATTAATCTACATAAGCTCGAATGTCAACAAATGGAATAATACTACGTCCTAGCCATTCAAAGCATTGTGGTGCTATAACGTTTCGAAAAGTAAAACGTCAAAAATCGATTCGAAACTCGAGCCCTCAGCAGAATCGAATGTCTTAATCGATTAACGAGCCGCCTTAGCCAATCAAATCACGTCATGTCGAATTTCTGCCCACCCAAACGTTTGCCCCTCCGAGCAAAACCATATATATATATACTCATCTTTGTATAGTATAGTGTGTACAAGATTAAATACGATCAAATAGATTCGGAATATTTGGCGAAATGACTCTCAAGTCCAAATTTCGGTGAAATGCACAATACAAGTACAATATCGCACGCTAGTGAGAAGAATTGGACGTACAGTGATGCACAACGCGTGGACATCGGTGACTACAGTTGATTCATTTTATTACGAACAAAAAAAAGGGAGGATATGTATGGCAAACACGTTACCTGCTTTGATGTCGAACGCGCCGATTTGATTGGCTTTTAAAAATGCATGCTCGTCTACCCCCATCCCCATATATCCGACCGGTATGCCAATATGATAATAAAATAAATATTTACGAAGTCGTACTCGCTAATTCACCCGGCCCGAGCAGCATGAGTTCGATGTTGATTTTAATTTCCGCCTTTTGTTTCGACAACAGCAAATGACGGGGTGAGTCGAGGAGGTTGAAGTTTTGCCGCTCCATGCATTCCCCCGACACGAGCACGAACATGGTTTTGGCAATTGTGCCTGCTCGATACAAGTAGTCCTATCGTCGGTCGTTCCCTCGTTACAGGCACATTTCAAATATTACTAGCATATATATATAGGATTCAATGAGGTGTGCATTATTCAATAAAACACCAAAAAATGCCCATAAACAACGATTCATTTCATCGAGTTTACGTCATGTAAAAGCAAACATGCTTGATACGTACGTTAGCTCGAAAGCTAATGGAGCGCATCTGGGCCACGATTTTCATGCGATCTAGGTATATAATTTAGACGAGTTGTTTGCTGGTATTATGGATGCATATAGTATAAGCACTATATAACATAATTCAGGTGTGGGTTTGTACCTGCAGTAGGCCATTTCTGAAATAAATACATGTAATCCAGCACTTCGGCTTGCACGTAATGCGACGTCTCCATCGATACGGTGCGAATTAGCCGGACGTAGTCGACTCGACCGAGATACACGAGATAGCACTCGACGGTCAGGTTGGACACGATCACAGTCGCATTGCGTCTGGCTGACGGGTTTACTAAAAAAGCAAAGATATAATATATGGGGGTTCGGGGTTCCGGTGTTTCGGGGTTTATGAGTTTCGGAGTTTTAATGGGGACACGTACACAACACGACATCGCCGACGACCGTGCCTGGGCCGAGCGTAGCTTTGTACTCTCCATAGTCGATGGTAGGTTTGACCTGGATAAACATGAAAGCATAAGACAGAGCATGTATATGTAAACATGAAAGCATAAGACAGAGCATGTAATTTTGTATGCTGGTTTCCATCCGTTATAAAGGATGGATGAAGATGATGATTGGAGTATAGAACGATGACTTGCCACTTTGTACTGCAGGTTCGTGGTGGTTTCGTCGCAGCCGAGGATGTGACTGTTATCTTTACAGTACACATCCACGAGGCCATCGATGAGAATATAACATCTGTCTCCGGTATCGCCTTGTCGAATGAGCATCGCTCGGGCTAGAAATGAAAACGGAATAAGAATAGATTGGTTTTGTTGGAGTAAATTAGTTCTACAACATGATATTGTCAATTCGATTCGAATTTGGAGTGGGGTACTCAATCGCAAGAGCAGAATCACCAAATACATTGGCAGGCAATCAACCGACTAATCAAAACCAGGATACTGATCAACCATCGAATGAAAGTGGGAACCTCAAATAGTGTGAACAGCTTACATACAAAATTCAGTACAAATAAAAAATCGATCGATGGATTTGGCGAATCAGCACTTAAATCCAACTTTTGGCCGAAAGGACATTATATACAAACGTCGGAGTTTCGGGAGTTGAGTTGTTCGTACACGGGAGTTTGATGAGTCGCATTTGGCGGCATATTTCTCGGCCAATGTAGTCGTGGCTGGACCCAAATATCATGGTCTATACAGGAACCACATACACGATGGTTTTCCAATGATATATATTGTGTACCCCCCAGTGGCAAGTAAGTATATATGAGAACTCTTACGTTTTTGCAGTTTTCCTTCATCCATTTGTACACAAGATGCAAGGGTAAAGTTTCTGTCAAGGACTCATTCCTCGTTCCACGGGTGACTTAGCAACGAATTTGTGTGAAAAAGGATATCAGTGTCGCTCCGGTTGGTCGGATCGGCTGCCAGCACGTGCTTGATCGCGTCGAGGGCCTGGCTAGGGTCCACCGCCGCCACGTCCGGCAGCTCCAGACTCGACTTCCACCGGCCGTGGGCGTCGAAAAAGTGGCTATTTCGTCCCCTGGTTTTGAGAGTCTATATACCAAACAGATGAGAATCACACAAGGCATATACGTATGTATAGACAAGGGGGTTGTACCGGTTCAATGCTTTTGGTATTCTTACGGGGAATGAGGGGCAAGAGTGGTGTGAACGTGTCCCCCGAGGGGGCTGGGGCTGGGGTCGGCTTGGGCATGTTGGTAGAATTCGTGCTAAATATAGATAAAACAGTCATCACGTTCGTTGCCAACAACCAGAGATGCTTTGTACTGGAAACGCATGCGGCGGGAACTCGACGTATTGCCCATGCCTTTCGGTAACAATGCTACCTTGGATCACAAAGCGGAAGTGCCATAACGATATGTATAGTGCAAATGGTCATATCGGGGCGGAGGTATTTGCAAAGCCCTACTATTCAGGATCACAGGACGACACCATTAGCATCGAAGAGCGTTCGATCACAGGCACTTCAAACGCACTAACACTGCGATACAGTGTTTGCCAGTAAAAGTCGACGAAAGTAGCACTACCATCAATAGGGGACATTGTATGTAGAGTGGTTCTACAGTACTCGTCCACGTGGACGACTCAAAAATATAAAGAACATCTCACGACGAATCCGAGGTCGAATTCTCTGATTGGCCTAAAGTACAACAATTAAACGACGATAACAAAGATCTGATTGATACAATGTTTCAAGGGCAAGCGTAGCGTTCGACGCGATATCACAGTGGTAAAACATGTTGTGTATCTTGAGTGTCAATTCCCGGGCGCGTCGAACTGCATGGTGGGTGGCTGGGGCTGTCCTTCCTAGAATGCCATTTTGACATGGATGTGTGAATCTTCAAATTACAAATTGAGTTGGGCCAATCACAGCTGAGCATAATCTTTGATTGAGAATACCGTGCAGTCAATTATATCCAATTGGATCTATTCGTTTCGATCCCCAGGTTTCGAAAAATTTATTCTATTGACGTGTGCTACTTTCGTCGACTTTTACTGGCAAACACTGCGATACGATACTTTCAATGCTACCACATGTCTTGTACTGGGGCATCAGAGGTGAATCAATCATACTGTATGCCTTTCATACTGTATAAAATAAAAATAAAGAATAATCTATTTCTATTTCATGTATTAAATTCATTTTTTAGTGACAATATAATTCAATTTATTAAATTTATTTTAATTTTATGTGCTACTTCACGGCGTCCGTTATTCGACTCGGCATTGACGCAAGATTGATGAAGGAACCCCTTCTGATGTTGCTTCACCGACATTAGATGTAGCATTTTCTCGCAGACTGGCTATTTATTTAACCAGAGGCGGGCGGCGGTGGCTCCATCGCGCAGCTCCATCAATGACTCGCACTTTCGACACCAATCAGTTTAGTATCTTGCCAGTTTGACCGTCGGTACATATATATATAATATACATACAGTAGAAACCCCACCACAGAGCACAAACGATTGTGTCTTGGATGTTATATTTACAAGGGCGGACAACCAACAGCTAGCAATTCAGTCGAAACCACGACCCAGGGCGTTGTGCATTGTTGCTGGACGACCCGATCAATGGCATGACGACGTTCTTGGGCTTGGTGAGTCGCCGTTTCGACCCGTCCGCTACGGGGTCGTGGTCCCGGGAGGGGGTTGCCGTGTTAGCTTGTTCCAGTTGTTGGATGAGAACGTAGTTTTCCGTCTTGAGGTTCACGTAGCGTTCAAACGAGGTGCTGTTTTCAGCTTCTTTTATGTATTGGCGCATCTGTCACCGAGCACATCAGATACTACCTGTAAATTCAAACACACCAAATTCTCCTGTACACAACGTTAATAAAAAAGAAGTACTACTCCGGAGTAGTAGAATTTCAAAACGAAATTAGAACTCACGATTCATGATCATTGCGTATAGTAACCGACTGTGTGTACCTTGTCGAGTTGTTGCGTAGCGACCGCCAATTGAGTTCTAAGGGTCCTAACTTCCTCGCCTTTCGCTGCGACGCTATTTCGTGCAAAATTCCCCGCTTCCTGCATCGTGTTTATGAGCCAACTACTAAACCACCATACTAGTAGGCCTTAGTAGTAATACTACTTGCCCGTTCGTCTAGTAGGTCCTTGGCGAGTTTATCTCGTTGTCGTGCCAACGTATCGAGCTGCCGCCTGTGCTTGCCTTTGGCAGTTTGCCAGTCGCCACATCCAACGCACGGTCTAGAGGCATCTGGGGCCACCTCTTCGACTTTTAGCGTTTGCTACGACACACCGCCAGACATAAAAAGTCGACCACCAAAAAATACCGTCCTACGTACTTGTTTGATTTCCAGCGTGGTTTCTAACGTGGTCAGCAAGGCGTGGGCACTTTGTTCGGTTTCTTTCTGCAGTTGACTCTGTTTTTGTCCATGAGACAATGTAAATGAACGAGCATTTACGTACGAGTTTGAACTCCGATCGCGCTAACAATGTCGTCAAGTCGAGTTCTCGGCCTTCCATGCGATACAACATTTCTTGCAACCGGTCCACAGTCTGTATTTGGGTCTACGAGGTTTCGGGGTTAAGGGGGGATATCAATAGAATAGCCTTGTATGACGCCATTGACAACATTAAACTATTATTTCACCCGTACTACTGTCATACCTGGTTTTGCTGCACTTGAGCTGCAAGCTCTGTTGTGCGCATCTCCAAGTCTTGCGAGATAGCCCGGCACTGTTGTTGCAATACCTGTCATACATCCACGTATTGCGTGCGACTCATTTCTTTTTCGGATAGCGCAGTACGTAGCGAGAACAAATACCTCGCAACGCGCGAGCCAGCTACCTTGCGCCGCGTGTCTGGCTAAAGCTTGTGCTAGGATATCCTCGGCCAGCAACTGATTTATTTCGTCGGTGGCCAATCGTTTAGTATTGACCACGTCGAGTTTCCTCTGCAGCCGCGCTAGATCCTGTCTCAACGACTCTGTTTCTTGAAACGACGACACGATGATGCGCTCGAGCTCTTGGTTCCGCTGCAGTACAAACGACAAGTGTGAATCCGTCGACTGCTGAGCTTTGTCCCGCGCCTACACCGACCAGCTTATAGTAACGAGAAGAACAAGGCAACGATGTCTGGTACTTCGATGTCGCGCAGCTTTCGAGTCAGACGGAGCACTTCGTCTTCCATGGCATGCATGGCTTCGACGTTGCGCAGGTTCATGAGCCGATTGCAAATAGCCATGTCCTCGGGGTTGCTGGTCCTACTACTACTACTGTCGTCGGCATCGTCGTCGACGCGCATGCTCAAGGTCGGGCGGCGGGGATCGATCTATTTGCGGTAACGTTACTAGACTCCGCCGTTTCAATCCATGCTTCCGTTTCAGTACTAGTAGTGAACTAACGTTACGACATCCGTCCTTTTGTCGCATGTTTAATCGAGTACATACATATTTATGCCTTTGTTGCTGTTCCTGAAGGACATCGTTCTTATTATTGTTGTGTGCCATCGAATTCTCGTTTGTCGGGCATGGTACATTATCATCGGCGCAACCTGAACTGGTAGTTACTCGTATAACGTAAAAAAACCAGTTTAAGATAACTTACAGTTAACCAATTTACATAACTTTGTATTGCCCAATCACACCTCGTTATTTGTTCGAGTCAAAACCTCTGTCATATAATGCTGACCATTCCGCCACGTGAATGAAATGCAAAAATGGCGTAGAAACCATTGGTAATAGTCATTGTCATTCAAGATTGGGTTTGAAGTACCCTAGTCGACACGGGCCACATTGGGTTGGATCTGAGGTTTTGTCGAGTGTTAAACTCGGTGGACATCCATCCACAAAAGAAATATATCTCTATAAAACAATACTCTTGTATAAATTATATGAAACCTGTTGTAACCGCTTACCCTAAACACAGAATTCAATGTTCCGACACATACATACTTTAAGATAAAAAAGTTATCCTAAATTGGTTATCAAAATGTGAGTACAAATGCTTAGAAAGTAACAAATTTACCTATGATGTTCTTCGTCTAAACTGATAATTCGATTATGAACTGACTATGAAAGCGGAGCGACTTTTCCATTAGATCACTACAGTGCTGGACGTTGAAGGTGGGTACAGCTGTTTTTTTCCTGTATAATTTCTCATTTTTGTCCAATTAAAACACCGTTTGAAGCAAATTACGCGATTATGAAAGAAAAACACAACAGTGCCTTTAAATTCACAAAAAGTGAAGTAGTTTTTGAGAAATGTCGAAAATACTGAAATGAATGGTTTTGAGCCTGGTCAAAAAACATGGGTACAGACACTGTTTTTCCACATTTAGAGGTCATTTGAACATCAACCTTCATCTCAATCACATAGTATGACTTTCTAATCGATATCTAACACTCACAGAACGTGTGTAGACGTGTGTAGATGCCACAAGGCGTGCTTTTCACGCTTGAGGAGCAAGGATCGATCCTGGCCTTTCACAAGGCTCGCTGGTCGATCCGACGCATTTCAAAGGAAGTGTTTGCGTCCAAGGGCGCTATCTGGAGGTTCCTTAGGTCACCTGAGACCTATGGAACGTCCAAAAGACAAGGCCGAAAGTCCAAATTGGATGAACGGGACCATCATCGTATCCTGCGGGTTATATCCGAAGGCAAACCAAGCTCAAGTAGGATTAAGCACGACCTTAATCTAAACGTATCTCCACGTACTGTTCGTCGACTTCTTTCGCGAACATTCCGCCTCAAGTACAAAAAGCGGAAGATGACTCCATGATTAACGGCGGCACATAAGGCGGCTCGCGTGGAGTGGGCAAAATGCCATGTGGAGCTCGGCCTTGGTTGGAACCAAGTGGTCTTCTCCGATGAGAAGAAATTTAACCTGGACGGTCCTGACGATCTCCAGTATTACTGGCATGACCTCCGCAAGCGAGAGCAGACCTATTTGAATGGTGCTGGAAGTGTGATGATTTGGGCTGCATTTTCCAGCAAAGGTCTAACTTATGTAGGACTCCTGTGCCTATTGTGATACGGTGACCGACTATTTCCTCCCCTTTGCTCAGCTGGCCCTCGCTCTCCCCGAATCTAAATCCAATCGAAAGCGTTTGGGGATACCTTGTGCGAAAGGTCTACGCGAATGGGCGCCAGTTTTCGACGGGTAGTCCATGGTGGCGAACAACATGTTCGAAGAATTCCTTCGCCGTTTGGCGTGCATCGACATCTGATCTCGTCGGGATGTACTTTGGCCGCTTGGAGAGCTTGTCTACCACGACCAAAATAGCATCATAGCCTTTTGACACGGACAAACCGGTGTTCTAATCCGCTGAAACAGTTTCCCAACACTCTTCCGGCGCGGGAAGGGGAATCATCTTGCCATTTGCACGCAGACTGCTCGTCTTATATCGGCGGCATGTTTCACAAGTCGCGACGTATAACTTCACGTTTTTGGGAAGAGTGTTCCAGTAATACCACTGCGCTACACTTAACATTGTACGTCGAGTTCCAGGGTGCGCGGCAGTGCTTGAATCGTGCGCGTGAGATAAAATCTCGGTGCGTAGCACGTCATCGTTGGGGACACATAGCTTCCAAACTTGGTCTTGGTTTCGCAGAAAGCAAAATCCTTCCTTCCACTTGAAGGCTTCACCTTTTATCGAATTTGTCCATGAGTCCTTTGTGTATGCCTTCACAAAACGTTCCTTGGCTTTGGTATACATTTCGATGGTGCTAAAGGACACTTGCTTCGAGCGGTTCACCGTTAGGCGTTGAGGCACTAGTACTCCTTTTTGCCCCTCCAACTCCTCCCCCCAAAAAGGAGAGTCGACAATGACGGCGATGTCACGAGTCGTGTAGGTGGAGAGAGCCGAGGCATGGACAAGAAGTCGATTGATGCGCGCGGCGACTGAGGCACAGTGGAAACCACACGCGTGGATTGAGAGCTGGTGAACGGTGGAGGTGGCCTGTGGAGGCCGAGACAAGGCATCAGCTACCACATTTAACTTGCCCGGACGATGATGAAGGGCAATGTCGAAACAACTGAAAAAGTTAAGCCAACGCGTCAACTTGGGCGTATGGACCGGCGTTGTCATGAACCACTTGCAGCAGGAGTTGTTGGTGTTAACATCGAACCGATTGCCATGCAGGTAATAGCGCCACTTGCCCAGAGCCAACTTAATGGCGTGTAGTTTCGTTTTCGCGCGCGGGCCAATTCTGTTCGTGGTTGGGCATGAAAGCAACCGGCCGATCATTGCCGTCGCCGTCGAGCAGGGAAATGACTGCACCACAGCAGAAACCAGAGGCGTCCGTGGTAACCACAAAAGGCTTGTTGTAGTCAGGCAATTTCAAAACAGGGGCTTGCTGCAACGCGAACTTGATTGTCAAAAACGCTCGACGCTCGTCCTCGCTCCAGTGCCACTTGACTCCTTTCTTCAGCAATCCACTAAGGGGACGGACGAGCTCCGCGAAGTCGGGGATGAACTTACGTCTTTGCTCGACGGAGGCTCCGGCCACTTTTCGATAGCACGGACTTTGGACTGATCCACGTGGATGCCATCTTTCGAAATGGTGTGACCCAAAGAGTTGACAGAGTCGACACCAAACGAACAATTGGATGAACGTGCGTATAGCTTCTCGGTGCGAAGGACAGTGCAAATTGAACGCAAATGATCAGCGTGTTCTTCGATCGTCCTCGAGAACACACAAATGTCGTCCATGTACACCACAACAAAGTCGAACTTGTCAAACAATCGAAGCATCAGGCGAGACCAGATGCCTGGCATGCCTGCCATACCCATTGGGGCCACTACTCATTCATAAACACCGCGGTGGGTCCTGAAGGCGGTGTACTTCCGCGCTGATGGCATCACGAGCATTTGGTGGTAGCCAGACGCTAAGTCGACCTTCGTAGAGACTCGACATCCGTGCATGCGGTCAAACAGGTCTTCAATGTTGGGCAGCGGGATCTTTGGCACGATGGACTGAGCTTTGACATGGCGGTAATCCAACACCCATCGTATAGAGGTGTCAGGCGTGGCGGTACGAAGCCACTCACGGCGTGAAAGCATCTGACCATCATCACTACGCTTGGGAACACCGAAGATGTTGGATACCCAGTCGCTGATCGAGAGCTCCATCTAGCCCTTTTGCAACAGATCGACAACGAACGCGTCCAAAGAACCTGCTTCAACCTTGAACAATCGGAACAGGGGTCGGTGCTGAGGTCTCGC